TTTTTTTTAAATCAGTTTTTTTGAAACGAGGGAGGAGTGGCGAGGGCAGCGGCTCCCGCCACCGGCGGGCCATGTGCCGGGCCAGCGGCCATGGAGCAGCCGGACATCGGTGCTGGAGATGGGAACCGTCGCCTGGAATTGTTCAGCCCCTCCACTGCACAGCCTCGCAGCCTTTAACCCTTCCTCTGCATCACCTCGCAGTTTTAACCRCTCTGCTCCATCATCTCTCAATCTTTAATCTCTCTGCTCCATCACCTCGCGGTTTCAACCTCTCTGCTTCATCTCAATGTTCAACCCTTCTACTCCATCCCATCTCAATCTCTGATCCCTCTACTCCATCACCTCACAGTTCTAATCCCTCCAATTCCATCACCTCTCAAACTGTAACCCCTCAACTCCATCACCTCAGTGTGTAACCCCTCTGCTCCATCTCCTCGCAGTTCTAACCCCCCTACTCCATCCCCTCTSAAACTTCACCCCCTCTCGTCCCTGCTGGGCACTGCCACAGTTCCGAGTCCAGCCAAAAACCTTCACACTCAAACAACAAGCACGAGGGACGACCCTGAAAAATTTGGAGAAGTTGGCAGCTGGCAGGAGGTGCCTGCGGTGGTTGGRGATGCCTCCAGCACAGCACAGCCCACACTCCACGTCCCTGCACCCACCAAAAATCAGTCRGGCCCCGCAGTCAGGGAGGGGAACGGGACTTGGCTCCGCTTCACGAACCCTGCCAGAACTTTCCTCTGTTTATAAACTTTACATATGAGAACTATTTGGTTTAATTGCAGCCTGAGTAAGTCTAAATATAAAATCTGTAGGCAATAGATGGGGCCGATATGGGATTGGTGTGTTTGTATTCAGAAGGGCGAGTGGAGGAAGAGTTAGTTAATGAGGTGTATTGGAAGCAGGACAACTTCTCCGATCCTGCTATTTATTTTACCGGTTCCTACCTCCATGGCAAGACCACATAATCTCCGAGTCCCACATGAAACTTGCCTCAGAGTCTTCTGTAAATGTTCATAAATCCTSCCCGAGCTGATTGCGCTATCAATCACCTCAGACGCCGAAAAGGAGCGGAGGAAAAACTTGGTAAAACTTGTCATCGGTCCGTGCGCGCGCACGGCCGCACCTCATATATTACAGGAGCCCCCGCRAAAAACGGGGGGCATCGGCCACGGCTCTGTAATACCTGAGCCTTTCTGGCTGTATTCCTTTACTCYGGGCTAAATAGTTGCCGCTTGTTGGTGTATTCCCACAGCAATATGTCACTGCCACGGAGCATCCCCCCGCGCGCACGGTCCCAGGGCCTAACACTGCTCTCATTCATGCYGGGTTCAGGTTGGGCTGACCCTGCCGGGGCCGAGACGGGCTCTCCCCGGTGCGGTGGCACTGCCCCGGCTCCAGCAGAGCCCACTCCAGCTTCCCAACTGTGTTTATTTTCCTGGGGAGGAGCGAAATTGCTTTCTGTGCTCCGGGCATCTGCGCCGTTGGGTTAAGGACGGTATTGTTGCGGGGCTGAGTTCCCAGGGAATTCCCTCCCTTTGGGAAAGAGAAGAAGAAGAAGAAAAAAAAAAATATTTTCCCAAAGAAAAGCTATTAGTTGAGGCCCGCGTTTTGTTTTGAAACACAAGTATGGGCAGAGATACGGGACGTTTTCGCTGATCCACTTTCCCCCAGATTTGCTTTATCCTGGCTTTTCTCTAGCCATCCACATTTCTCCTAAGAAAACAGCCCTGTTGTTGAATTTCTGTGCATCTGTTCCAGCGAGACAGTTGAAGCAGGGCAGTATAAAGCAACAGATGCTTATGCTGGCACATGCCTAAATACCCAAGAAAACCCCGACTGCAGGGTGATAAATGGCACAGAGAGGCGAATGTGTATCGCCTTTTCAGGGGATTAGACAAAAGTGAACTGGAGGGATCTTCAAGCCATCATCTATTAAAAAGATTGATAACTTGTAACGTGACATGACCCCCGCGTTCATCTGTAGCTATGTCCAGCGACTGTCGGCGAGGGAAAAAAAATATATTGATTTGTACAGTATTTTTAATTAAGCTTTGTAATTAGGTCAATTCGTCACGGTCTCAATTAGCCCCCCTCTTGGCGGAGGAGGCTGGCGGCGGTGCCCGGAGCCCTTGGGGAAGCGGCAAGAGCGGGGCGGCCGGGGCTGACGCTTGTCCTTTCTCTTTTGCAGTCCTGGTACCTGGGATAAAAGTCTCCGCTTCCCACCACGCACCGGACAGACCACCAGACCCCTTCCCACCTCTGTAACACGGAAGCAGCAGCAACGCAGCGCAGCGACTTCACATCGGCGGAAGGGGAGGCGAGCAGACACCGACAGCAAACTCGTACATGGAAATGGCAAACGTTATGGTTGAATGGCAAAGGCCGTAACTTTCTCTCTCGAGATTTGATTTCGATTTTTTTTTTTTTWAAATAATTTTTTTTTTTTTTTTAGACAACTTTAGGACTGTTGTAATTTCTCATATGGTGCTGGAAATGGTTGGGCTTCATAACTTTTGAAGTGTTTCGTTGGTAGTGTAAGCGTTAGGTGACACTGAGTAGAACTAGCCTCTGCTGCTGCTTACCAACTCGCTGTTGTAACACACTTTCCATATGGAGCCTAACTGTTTTACAGTATCCTCATCGGATTTTCCCATACAGGTGTGAGACTTCTTGAGAAATCATGAAACACACTTAAAACTATAACTTTTGTAGTAGCTGAATTCTGCAATATATAACTTACCGGACAGACATAGAGCATGTTTTT